AGCCGGGATGTACTCCTCGACTCGAATGTTCTGCGTGTGGGCGGAGGAAATGGTCCCAGGTCTCCTCACCGACTATTTGTCGTTCTCTTCTTTTCTCGACTTCTTCCGCGATCCGATTCAATTTCACTGTAGTCAGAGGAAGATGCTGAGTCACACTTTTCATCCAGAGGTGTGAAGAGTTTAACGCAGAGGAAATTATGTGCAGCCCCAAGGAGATCATCAGCGTTGCGAATACCCGTGTGATCGCCTTCGCTATCGCACCAGTAGACTTCATTACTGGGAAGATTGAGGCTTTTAATCCATTTCTTGTATTGCTTGAAAAGATCGTCCTTATTCTTATAGGAAATTTGAATGGTGGCCACGTTTTGGGGAACGACTTGAATGAGGACCTCGCCCATGACTGTTTAAGCAATGGGAATAAAGTGCACACGTACGGAAACTATTTGTAGTGTGGGACATAGCATCGGGCGGGGCAAAGCGAGCTGGCGCACGCAATTTTTCATCGCATTGCTAGATATTGCACAACTATCTTCTATATACAACGTCCCATTATCTCGTTTCTCGCTAATCAAAACATGGATTTCTGCTGAGCTGTCTTCGCCTCAGTGATGTTGAATATCCATACAAAAAACGCGGTACAAGACGTAGGTATGTGATATTAATCACGCTGGACAGAAACTTTGAGCCAAACCTCACATTGGCAGTTCCATCATTAAACCCGACGATCACTCGCAACACTACTGCGACTAGATTTTGACAAAGTACTGGTCATCAGGCTTCCAACATCAATTTTGTGTTTTTAATTTTTAATTAACTTGCCACTGGTGACCAAGTCCTACTTGATGTTGAGTCTTATCTGTTGTCTCGTTTCTTGGCATATTTCTTCACGTCAATTACAACTTTACGGCAGGATATCGCGTTGAGGGCACTTTTGCTTCATTGTATTCATGTTAGGAGGTCTCGCATGAATGCTGAATTCTTGACATAAACATTTATCTGTGAAAGAGCATATTTCGCATGATCGGTAGATTCGCAAACACTAACCAATCAAAAGCTAAAAGCTACATCACTTCTCAATATGTGCCAAAAGCAAAAAGATAGTCTGATTTTCTCCTTATCTTGATCAAATCCCAACCATGCAGCTTCTTAGCTCCTAATTTTTTTCTGAAGTATTGTTCA